AATATTAAAGGTTACCTCATCTTACCTCTAAGTGGATGAATAAATATCCCCTCCTTTTTTCTAGTGGAGGAATTCCTGCCCCTGTTTGTCCACTATGGTTATGGGGAAAGTGGGGACGTGGAGGGCAAAAGATGACCAGGACAGCACTGCCATTCATGTAGTTCCATTCCAGTTTCAGACACTTCAAGCCTCTTGAGCTGAAACTATTAACTCCTGCCTATCAGCTCTGATTTTACTCTCTAGAACCACACAAAATCACTCGACTGTCTCTTATGGCAGCTCTTTAAATATTGAAGAGAGCCATGTTGCACTTTTCTCCTCTCTGCTTTTCCTTGTCATATGAAGCCTTTGTACTTCTTTCAGCTCTGTCACAGCAGTATCCAAAGCTTCTCTGGTATCTGAAACACTGTACTGAAGAGAGGCCTGAAGTTGACCCAGAATGAGCAAGAACTCCAGTGTGTGTGCTCAGAGCAGGCACAGCAACTCTGTCTCCTCACGCAGGAGATAGAAGTCAGTACAGATGAAACAAGTCTCTCTGGATGAGACACTGGCTTCTTAGCCTCCTTTCTGGGAATCAGAATCATTTGGAACATAGAAGTGAACATTAAATTGTGAGATTTTGGTGAAAATCCATTTCTCAAACTGTTGAAGGGAATCAGAATGAATCCTGTGCAGTGACTGCCTCAGGCTGGCTCCTCTATGGGAGACTTTGGAACAAAGCTGGAAAAAGCTTTTACTTTTGAGTAAGACAGCCTGACAGGGAACACAGGGCATGGCTGTACTTTCTTTCCAAACCTGATAACTTGTCTTTTTAAAAGAGAAGTCTGAAGCTCCTTACTCCTGCCATCAACCAAGATTCTGTTCTTATGCTTCTTGTTTTCTCTGTTAATATGTCAGTTTTCTCATCTACTTGGGTTGCTTCTTTTTTTATTTGTATAAATTTAAGGAGTACAAGTGCAGTTTTGTTACATGAATATATTGTGTAGTGGTAAAGTTTGGGCTTTTAGTATAACCACCACCCAGTACAACCTCTGTGCAAAACAGTGTGAAGATTTCTCAAAGAACTAAAAGTAGAAGATAGAACTACCATTCAACTCCGAAATCCCACTACTATCTACTCAAAGAAAATCATTATATTAAAAATATACCTGCATTTGTATGTTTATTATAGCACTATTCACAATAGCAAAGATAACCAACCTAAATGACCCTCAACAGAAGACTGGGTAGAGAAAATGGTATATATACCCAGTAGAATAATATTTAGCCATAAAAAGAATGAAATCATGTCTTTAGCAGAAACTTGGATGGGACTAGAGGCCATTATCTTAAGTGAAACAACTCAGAATGCCAAATACTGCATGTTCTTACTTACAAATGTGAGCTAAATAATGTGTACACCTGGACATAAAGTGTGGAGTAAGAGGCACTGGGGACTCAGAAAGGTGGGAAAAGGGTGAGGGAGTGAGGGATGAGAAGTTACTCAATGGGTACAATGTATATTATTCGAGCAATGTGCCATCACCTTCATATGGCATATTCTCTGATCATTACTTCTAAATCCAACCTTCTTCCCTGCCTACAGCCTTACATTTTCTGACTTCCTTTTAGCAGCAGGCAATGCAGATGATAAAGAGACCCACAGATCAGCTAAATGTCTCCAAAAAAAAATCAAGTTCCTAAATATTGACAGAGAAAGTGAATCCCATGGAAGATGGAGCAGGCAGAAGAGGCACCTGATTACATCATAAGGGGTCAGAGAGTGTATGAGCAATAGGAAAAGTGGGGTCAGGGTCTTCTATGCTCCTGCAAATATCTTCTAGGTTGGGCTTGAGGGAGAGGTGCTAAGAGCTTGTTTGCCTGGGGGAAAACTTTTTTCTTTTTTTTTTTTTTTTGAGTTGGAGTCTCACTCTGTCGCCCAGACTGGAGTGCAGTGGCTGCTCCCGGCCACCGCAGCCTCTACCTGCCAGGCTCCGGCGATCCTTCCGCCTCAGCCTTCCGAGTAGCCGGAATTATAGGCATGGGCTACCACACCCGGCTGATTTTTTTATTTATTGTAGAGATGAGGTCTCGCTGCCCAGGCGGGTCTCGAACCCGCGTGCTCAGGCAATCCACTCACCTCAGCCTCCCAAAGGCGCAGGATTACAGGCTGAGCCAACATTTAATGAGATGTTTTTCTTCACACTCACCACTCTGAAGGAAGAAAGGACCTCACGAGAGTTAAAGGGTAAATATTGGCCTCTCAGAAGAGGGATGGTCAAAACAAAATTTGTTCAGCTGAAACTGCAGTCCCACACAAAGGCAAAGAGATCAAAATCCTTTTCTTTCTCCTACCAAGAAATGTTAGCTAAGATTTTGTTCTTGATGCTCTTGCTACTCACAATCCCTGTGGCTGTATTTCCTTGGCAGGATTGGATATGACCCCCACCTCTTCCTACTCGAGTCATACAGCAAACCTACAGAGCTCATTTAGGCCAAAACACTGTGGAATGAACAGCTGGTAGTTCTGATAAAACTTGACACTTGACCCTGAAAAATCGATATGGAGGAAATCAAAGAACATTACCAACCTCAAGCCTCAAGTTTGAATTGCATTTGGCTGTCAGTAGTGGAGAACTGGCTTTAGTAGCTTAAACAAATGAAAAATGTAATCTCTCACATAAAAGAAGTCCAAAGATAGCCACTCTGGGGCCAGCATTGTTATTCCTCATTAGAGAGTCTTCAGCTTTACATTCTTTGCATTGGCTCCCATCTTCTAAGTTAGTTTTTGGTATAATATACCAATTAGAATTCCAGCCATCATATTTTCATTCCAAACAGAAATTAACAAGGGAAAGGCACAAAGGCACCTTCAGCTATCTGATCCTTTCTTGGAGATCTTTTCCAGGAGGCCCATCCAACAACTTCTACTTTCATCTTATTGATCAGAACTTAGTTGCATGACTATGGTAAAAGAGAGACTGGGTGAAGTGGTCTTTAGCAGAGCATGATACCACCTGAACAAAATGGGGTTTTGTTACTATGGAAGAAGAGGAGGAGTATTGGGTAGACAACTGGTAGTGTCTGTTATGTAAAGAAGCAGCTAGTTGAATCAGAAAACAAGAGAGAATGGATAAGAATGTCCCTGAAACTGGAACCCAGGGAATTAAGGGATTCAGGAAATAAGAGGAATCCAAAAGTGGTCTTGGCCTCATGAGTCTTTACCTTTCTTAGCCTGGTTCTCTTCATGAATGGGCAGGAGGTACAGGCAAACCACAACAATTTAGTCTGATGTCCTGGGATGATAGGAGACTGGCTTTTGATAGCTGTTATCCTACATGAGGCAAAAGGCATCAAATTTTTCAGACCATTTTTAAGAGCCAAAATTGTTTTAACCTAAGAAAGATGATAGACAATTTAACTTCTTTGTCAATGTGATGTTGTGAAATAATAAATATATATTTAGACTTTGTCCCTGGTTCCTGGCATAAAACTCCTAAAATTCCTGGAATTTCCTGAGGTATTGGAGTGAGAGGAACATTTTTATTATTCGTAATAAGCCCCTTTCAACCATACCTGAGTTTATTCTAATGAGGTGACCCTTGGAAGATAGGGACTGGTTGCCAGAGGTACCAGCTGTGTGATTAGAGGGTTGGATCTTTCAGCCCCATCCCCATTCCCCCATACCTGACTTCTAGAAAGAGAAGAGGAAGGGGCTGGATATTGAGTTTATTGACCAATGATGCCTACCTAATGGAGCCATCATGAAAACCCTAATATATGGGGTTAGGAGAGTTTGATGTTGATGAACGCACAGAGGTACGGGGAGGGTAGCATGCCCAGAGAGAGCATGGAAGTTCCATGCCTCTTCCCCCATACCTTGCCCTTGGCATCTTTTTCATTTGGCTCTTCTTGAATTGCATCCTTTATGATAAACTGGTAATAGTAAAATTTTTCTTGAGTTCTGTGAGCTGTTCTAGCAAATTATTGAACCCAAGGTGGATGTCAGTTTTAGCCAGTTGGTCAGATATACAGGTCACAACCTGGGACTTGGGAATGGCATCTGAAGTAGAAGAGAGAAGCCTTGTGGGACTGAGCCCCGAACTGTAAGAGTCTACGCTCTCTCTAGGTAGTTAATACCATAGTTGAATAGTAGGACATTCGTTTGGTATCTGGAGAGTTGCAGAATTACTCAATGTGAGGAAAAACTCCACATATTTGGTGTCAGAAATGTTGAGTAGAGAAGCAGTGCTTTTCTTTTTAGTTATTCTATGCTAATATTTGAAAATAGCTACCCACCCAGCCCTTCTGAAATGTAATTTCATTCAAATGTGTGAGATACCTTAGATACCTGCATTCTACTACAATTTAGCCTTCTTGCTGCTGCTGTTAAATTTCTCAAACTGGTCTGATTATTTTTAGTAAGCGTTGCCTATTTATTGGGAATCTTCAGACCATTTTAGAGGTATAGGAAATAATTCGTCTCTGCTCATACCTTTAACCCACAGTGATAAAGATATTGTTTTATAAATTTCATTTATAAAAGCTGCTTGGAAAGGAAAAGGGGTCGGGCATGAACTGTTCAGATTGCTCAGAATTTAGATGTCATGGTAACCAAGACTATCTTAGTTTTGCTAGCCTTAAGTGTTCAAGGAGGCCTGTCTCAAAACTTAGAGCTTAATCTTAAAAGAGTCATCAGTTTAAAGAAGAAACAAAACCCACTTTTGACAATTTTGAGATATTGATTTCTGATATCTGTTTTCTAAGATGATTCTTGAATTCTTGGATAAAAATGGAAATAATTACTGTAGATCCTTAAAAAAAAAATCTACCCTAAATACATATCTATATCTAAACATGTAAGAATATGTTGATGTTTAGTTTCCCTGATGATTACTTTCATAGAGGAATGCAATTTTATCTGGACAAATTTGTATAGCTAATATTGGTATAATTTTAAGATGTGAAAATTTTAATCCTTACTGAATTTCAGACACCTATTCATTTACTTTTTGACCCAGATCTAACTGGCTCAAAAGCCCTGATGCTGATTCTGACCAACTCTTCCGCATGGTGGCAGAAGTCTTCATCTTGTGGTGTAAATCTCACGTAAGGATATATTTGAGCCTGGATTTTGGATGGCTGTGAAAGGTACAGACCTTGGAAAACTCTCTTATAATATTTGCTTTTTTAATTTTCCCCCACTTAGAACTTCAAGAGGGAAGAGCAAAATTTTGTGATTCAGAATGAAATTAATAATTTGGCATTTTTAACTGGAGACAGCAAAAGCAAGATGTCAAAAGTAAGTCCTTAGAAATCAACTCCAAAGACTCTTCAACCTTGACCTCAACCATAACCTGGAATTATTCATATTTTGTGGGGATTAACACTGTACCGCATTTAGGTCAAACTATATAACCAACAGTCTCTGCTGTTGTTTCTTTGAGAATGAACCAGAAGAAACTGCTCTCAAATAAGCATGATCATCCCATTTTATGAATAAAAAGCTGCTTGTATGTCAAAAAGTTTAAGTTCTGAGACTTGCCTAAGGCATTTAAGAGGTCTCCCAAACAAAAGCTGCTGTTGGTGGTTTTATAGTAGAACTACTTCCGATGTAGTGAAGTTGTAGAAATACACATGCATGGAGCCACCTTTTGATTAGCTAGGAAGAAATTACCTTGCTTTGAAGATTTTGATTGCACATACTCTTACACTGTGCTTGTTTTCCTACTATCTGGAATATCCAATACCTGTTTTATTTCAGTATGTTGACCTCTTAATGCCTTCTCTTTATTTTCCATGACAGTTGCACCCAGAAAGCCAAACGTTTGTCCATCTTCATGCAGGAAATGTTTGAAAAAGGGCGTATCAGGCATCTGTCTTAACAAAGAGTAACCTATAGGAAGGAGCACAGCAGAAATACAAGAGACAGAAATTGGCCTCCCAGCTCCTCCTGAGTCAGCTCTGCATACTGAGGCTTCATTATTGTGATTGGACAAAATTCTCAGACACACTCCTTTGGGTGTACATACAAAAGCAAAACCTACTTAAGTATAATGTTCTGTTACCGGCTGTTATGGCTTACCCTTGACTCTCTTCTCCCAAGAAATGTGCCTCAATGAGGGTTGACTGGATATGTCAAGTATTTGTGACATTAATACCTGAGATGTACATCCCTCTCATTGTTGGTACAGTGCTGCCTTTGAGGAACATGATGGTGGGGTGTGCATGGGGATCCCACAGAAGTCAAAGTCAGTTCTGGAAAGATGGGAGTCATGGGTTTGTAGCAAAACCCTTGGGCATCTTTCCAAATAACCGTTTGGGATGGAGGACTCATGTATATAAGCTGCAGATAAGGGGCTAGTATGACATCAGAAACAAAAACTTCAGTACCTGGAGCCCCACCAAGTGTAACTACTCTGGTCAGCAGCAATCTGAACTTTTTGTCCCTTTCATCTTTTAGCTATGTGGACAATAACATTTCTTCTAGCATCTAAATATGTCCTGTTAGAGTTTAGAATACATTCTATGTATGCACTAGAATATACTGTCCATATACACACTTAATAAAGTTTGGCAAACAAAATTATGCTCATACAAATCACATTCAAGAGGAATCTTTGCCGCAGAGGAACCTTATGGCAGATCCTCTTCTGCTTTGAATAATTTTATTTGATTTCCCCAAATTCATTTTGCAGTCACCTTTGGTAAACACATCTGCGGCTCATGTGAGGTACACAAGGTGGAATTTTTCAGATCCAGCTCCCTGGGATACCTAGCTTATCTTAAGTTGCCTCTGCAGGGTCTTCTTACAGCTATCACAGCTCTTCTTTGACTCCATCTACCTACAGAAAACCAGTAAATTCCAGGCAGTTTCCAAGTTATCTTCAACTTGAAGTAGATCACTGGCTCAGGACTGAACCAGCCAGCATCTATTGGGATCGTTGGGGGATGGTTAACCACAAAACAATGTGAATGACTGATACAAAGATTTGGATTCTGGATGAGCAGAAGTGGCAAAGACACCTCAACCCTCTGGTGATGAATGAATGCTCAAGATCCTTGCGTTTATATTTGAATAGAGATAAGGTGGCAGAAAATGACATTTCAAAACCCATCTACTAACAAACTAACCTGACATTTTGTTTATTCACATCACCGAATGAGGAAAAGGAGATGTTTGTTTCTTGACAGAGGATGGTCATGTTCAGAATCTGGGCCTCTTCCCTTTTAGTAAGTTTAGTTACACTGCAGAAGCAACCTCTTGTTGACTAAAGGATACAGCCTTGCAACATTTACTTAACTCCTGTGGGTCCCAATGTACCAGTCTGCAGAATGGGATTGAGTTTACTACCTGACTCCTCCCAGTTCTGCTAAGATGTTCTGGTCAAAAGTCAGTTTCAACAGTATCTGTAGGATAAAATAACCTTTGATAAATGTAGTGCATTATTTCAGACAAAAAGATACCACGCATCCAACAGGAAGCAATTCAAAGCCATTTCTGGTAGTTTTTAGATGTAGAACTGCACATTGAGGGGCCAGGGAGAGCGTAATCTTTCTTATCATCAGTCAAACCCCTATTGCCTTTGACCCCCTGCAATTAGATGTTCTCTCCACTACCTGATCTGAATGGTCAGCTGTCACCTGTGCTTGCTTTTATCTCCACTCTTAATTGAACTCTGGTGTTGTAAAAATGAACCGAGCCTCAGACCATATGGCAGGCTTTGTGGAGGTATGTGTATGTGAATGCTGCATGCCACACTCACTGCATATGCCATTGTGAATGGAAAGGAAATAGAGAAAATATACAGTGAGCCTTGCTGTTCCCACTTGATTAATTGAAGGTCAATTCAAAGATATGTTATTCTTCTGGCAGCTAATGCAGATTTTTTTTGGACAGCTCATTGTATATTTTGTTTATATAACACCAGTTTGCAAATATATGTTAAGCTAAATGTAACTAAGCTGAGCAAGTGTTTTTGTTTTGTTTTGTTTTGAAACTTGTTTTGTTTTCTGGAAAAATGGCAGCAGCTTCCTCGGAGGGGAATGGTAAGTTAGAACGTATTTAGCCCAAGAAATGCCAGTTCCTTGACCAAGGTTATAAACAATAAAATAAAAAGTGTTTGATGCAGAAAATATCAGAGCACCTCATGGTTCAAAGCCACTCCACCCCCATGGAGTGTGATTTCAGCAGATTGAAAAAGGACAGGAAATATTTTAGAAGATATCTTTGAGTTTTTCAAGGGCATTTGTCACAGTTACATGTCTGAGTTTTCTTCTTGCTGCAGTCTCCCCTCTTGCTCGCTCTTTCATCCCCTTCCCCACCATTTCTTTTATTTTGAATTGTCTTTGTTCTTGCACTTCTGCATTGTGCTCACAGGCATGCTCTCTCTCTCTCTCTCTCTCTCTCTCTCTCTCTCTCTCACACACACACACACACACACACACACTGAGCACACTCACCCTCTTCTTTCCCTAGTCTCTCTGTTTTCCTCCCTCTCCTTCTCTCCCCTTAGTCTCTCTCCTCCTCCTTTTTCTCTCGCTCTACCCCCTTCTTCTTTCTCCCCCACCCCTGCCCCTTTTCCCTTTCCCTCCCCACTTCCCCCTCTTCCTTCCTCCACCTTTCCCTCCTTCTCTCACTGCCCTTTTTCTTTTGCGCACATGCCCCCCCACTCTCAGACCGACTTGCAGAAATTCTCCTTTTCCTCTAATAATAGCTATTGTTTGGTTGTCTTGTCTTCACTTCACTTACCTTTTCAGTGAAAATAAGAACTTCCCATGGCACAGGCCTGCCTTTGTTCAGAAGCCTGACGCAAACTCCCTGTGCTGTCTTCGTGTGTGGGTCCTCCTCAAACTCCTTTATTTTTTTAATGTCTTTTTCTTAAGTTCTACACATATTCAAAATCATCTGTGTGATTAAGCTGTTGGTGATACTTTATCTAAGTGTGGGGAATTGAAATTATTTTGAAGGTATAGGAATTCATAATTTTCTATTTAGAAAATAAAAATTTTCAGCCAACTTTTTAAAAAGCATTTCCAGCATTAGGGAGTTATAATGAGCTAATTGATTTTAGCAATATGTGAAGAAAAGAACCTGTAGTATGTAGGAGCCTTTGACCTAAGATATGTTTAAAGGTCATAGCACAAGAAGGGGGCTGTTCCATCCTTTGAATTGTGGGGTGATCCTGCATCACTTTGGATATTCCTAGAGCATTTTTTAAAGCAAAACTTCTTTTAGCAGAAGCATGAGCATGCCTCCTTAGCTTGGTTCTCCTCTCTATCTTTGTGACCACAGATCTGCAGGAATTGATAATGTGGTGGATAAAAACTCTTTAGTTACTTGACGGATTGTCTGTAGCCCATCCAGGTGAAAGGAGGGAGGTGGAAGGGGCAAAGACGTTAGATCTAGAGGGTTCATGTGGGTGGCCAGATCTGAAGACCACCCTATGTTGGGTCTGAGTGCCACTCTGTTGACCTCACCCAGGAATGGGTTGCTTAGTGTGGATGGTAAGCCCTTTGACCAAATTAACCTTCATCCTAACCTCCCACTCACTCGTCATGCCACACTCAACTGGCTTCCAGAACGGTTGAGTTACTGTTGTGTTGGCTAAGAAACGGGGGCTAAGAAGCTATGACTAACATGTGCTTTATGCCTTGGTGCCCTGCTTGTACTGACTGACTCTTCTCCTTGTTTCTTTTCTTTTGTCTTTCCACACAGGCCATGCAAGTAAAGGTACAGGTCAAATGCATGACGTGTCTTTTCTGTCTAGTATTAGAGGTGCCAGACTCTGGCCCCCCTCTGCACTGTGATCACCATGGGGGTGATACAGAATGGAAATTCCCACCTGGAGGTCCCCAGACCTGCTCCAGGAAAGACAACTGCCTGTCAAAGAGTGAATGTAGGCCTACCCACCCTTGAAATGGGGAAGTGGGGGAAGCCAGCCAAGCCTCGTCCTAACAGAGGTCTCCTTGCTATCTCTGCTCCCTCCCTCGGCTGCCCGCTCCTCAGCCACCACATTTACCAGAGATAGGGATGACTGACAGGGCTTGAGAACCCAGGGACTTGCTCTTGTGGTACCATCCAGGATCAGGGTCTTATTTTCTGTTAATGGTCTCAGCCCCGTCCCACTATACATATTCTGCCTCTTGTACAAGATTCCCATGATTCAGAGAGAATCTTCTGAAGACTGAACACAAGGGTTTGAAATTGGCAGATAACCATGAGCTTTTGCATAAAATATGCATATGATGGAATAAACCCTGGGACATTTTTCCAGTTACCCCTGCAGGATGTGGAAATTTTCTTTCTGTTCATTAATATGTGTCTGCTTCTATTGTCACAATCCCTACACCCAAAACTGTGTGGTGGAGAGAGGGAGATGTGGAGGAACTAGGTCATATGCAGCTCTCAGTTAGGAAGGGAAAATGGAACCCTGTGTGCAATAGACTTGCTTCTGGTTATTGGTTCAGACACTTACTTGCTGTGTGATCTTGGAAAAATTACTTCACTTCCCTGAGCATCCTGTTCTCATTTATAAAACTGACTGGTTAATATTTCAGGGTTGTTGGGAGGATCATAAATATTTTATCTAAGTACCAGGTACATTGGAGTCACATCACATATGCAGTATTTATGATTAGAATAACATGAGATTGGTCAAATCAAATAGAGAATGAGCCGGAAAGAATTTAAATTGTGTAATCAAAGCCACATAGTTGCATTTTCAAGCATATTTATTTAATTGTGTTCGAATATTACCATTTACATTTTACATTTATACATACATCATACCACATAGTTTATATACACATAACCAGGTTCTGTCTTTGATGGATGATTTGAAGCATTCTCAAGGGTAACTTAGACTATAAATGGGTGTTGCTGAGACACAACCTTTAGAGTTCTACACCTGATGGTAGAATGTGTGAGGAACCTAGTGAGCGCTCAGTAAACAACAGAACTCGCAGAGTCTTTATGTGAACCAGCTTTCACTTTGCTATGTTCTGGGACACAAGAAGCCTCCTTCCCTTAGCCTCATGTCCTTTCCTCTGTTCATGTTTGTCACTGTCCCTCCTGCTGCTGTCCTGGAGGCTGACTAGTGTTTTGGAGCACCAGACACAGGTGCCCCTGCAGCCAGTAGAATCTTCTGGCGGCATTTGGCCGGCCTAACTTTTGCTGGCCCAGGGCTTCGTTGTGGTTTCTGTGATACAACTATCTGAAGGTGCAGCAGCCGCAAGCTTGGTAAAATAAATCATACCTTTCTTAAGAGTGTCCATTGATAATTATGAACCATTTTCACACTTTTGGAAAGTCATTTAAAGAGATTAGTCCCAAGGCAGTGTTAATTCTGACAGTATTCTTCTCTTCTGAAACCATCTCTCATAATGTGAATTCTACCCTAGCCCAAGAGGCCCAAGTCTTTGCGTGCCAGGTCCAAGGAAGGCATCTGGCATGGCCCCAAAGCCCTGTGTCTATATGTCATTGTAAGCCACAGTGCTACCACCTCATTGCTGCAAACACTCCATGGCACCTCACAGAGCAAAGCTTTGGTGAGCCCTATATCCCCCTCCCTCGGGGTCCCAACATGCTTCCAGCTACCCAGCCCTCCCCATCCATCAGGTGCCCAGCCAGCCAAGGCCAAGTCCTGCAAGCTGGGTACCACATGGGCAACTTTGCTCCTTTGGAACCTGGTGTCATGATAATCGAGTCACTGCCATGCCTGATTTCCTTGAGCCCTCCTGGACCCACCACGTGCTGGTCACCTGGATCTGCCATCATGTCAGCCCAGTGTGGTAGATTCCTCTCTAAAACCTACCTCTTCACTGAGAGGACTCTTTCTGAAAAGGATGATGGGATATTAGCCAAACATAGGTGCTAACTCCCATGGACTTAGGGAGTTTCTTTCTCTCACGTCTCTGGTTTTTTTCTTAACTTTGCCCCAGTCAGACTCAAAGCAGCCCCATTTTAGACTATCCTTTTCCTGTGAGAATTTGTGTTGCCTTGTGGTGGAGAGGCTACGGGAAGTACTCCAAAGCACTAACTTCAGCCTTGGAAACACAGCAACTGCTCCATGGTGGATGCTCTTTCACATTTTTACTAATTCCCCGGTGTCAGAATTCTCTGTTCTTTTCTGGGGTCATTTTGTCAGTCTTCAACTCATTCTTTATGCAAAACCACCGTTTATTTGTTCAGTCACTCCAGAAGTGAGTGAGCAAAGACCATAGATGTCTTTGATGTGTGCTTAGTTGCATAGTTCCGTGTGCATGCACAGAAGGAGAAGGCTTGGGGTTAGGGCTGGTCTTTTAGGGTCACCTGGTTTGTCTTTGTTTAACACACTCTTTTCACTGTCCTTTGAAATGTAGTAAGGCTCAGCCTGTACTGACAGGGCCACAAGGAAGCAAGCTGCCTCTGAGATGAGGCAGTTCCTTTCAGAGCATCACTGAGGCCCTCTCTGTTTATTTCAACATTATCTCCTAGTCTGGAGGACAGGACCAGGAACGGAAGAAGACAAAGCGGAGGGGAGACTTGTATTCCATCCAGACCTCCCTCATCGTGGCTGTGCTCAAGAAAATGCTGCCCATTGGTTTGAATATGTGTACTCCAGGTGATCAGGAGCTGATCTCCCTCGCAAAATCACGATATGGCTATGTAAGCTGCCCTCTGATGACTGAGTGTGTAACACAGTCCCTGCAGGGTTAATGCCCCTCCTTTTGGTGTGTGGGGTGGGGGCAGATGAACAAAAACCAAGGTGTATGGAGCAACATATCCTCAGTTTTAAAACTGACTTGGGAGTCAGTGTGTGCCCTTTAGGACACATCTCAATCATATATTTTTCTTTTTTTCTAATAAAGATTCCAGAAAACTGTATATTGACTATCCATACATCCATACCCTACTTCACAGTTCAACAGTGATCTCTAAGAATAAAATTTGACATCTCTTTCCACAGAGGGACACAGATGAAGAAGTCAGAGAACATCTGCGGAATAACTTGCACTTGCAGGAAAAGGTGATGATGCCTCAGGAAGACAATCAGAACTCACACGGGCTTTCCTTCTGGCTGCAGAGTTCCATCCTTTCACTTAATTTATTCATGTTATTTAAATGTGTTCTAAAAATAGTCTTGGAGTATTTGTATTTAGTTAGTAGGACTGGCTCTCTGCCCTTAATTTTTAAAAAATTATTGATACATAAACTGCCCTTAAGTTTTGTTTTTTTACCTTAATTTTTGTTATTTTCTTTGCTATTACAAAGAGGATACAAAAAGGCATCAAACAAAGCATGTCCTCCTATTTCCCATTATATGAACATCAAGCCCTAGCAGGGGGATTTAGATTAGGTCTCAGCATTTACTGACAGTAAATCTTGTTAAACAGTGAGATGGACACCAGAGGAAGTATAAGCACCTCCTAATCTAGAGATATCTTGAAAAAAAATTATTTTGTGTCTCAGTGCTGTAACAAAAAAATCCATATGATTATGATTTTAAAAGATATTTGAGGGTTTTTTGCAGGCCTATGAATCAGAACAACTCTTTCCTCAGATACATTATCCCTGAGATGGAGAATTAAACCAATACAAAAAGTTTTTCCTTTCTGCCCAAAATATATAGGAGTGGTGGACAAAATATACAGAAAAGAGGCAATCAAAAAAAATCTCAAGTACCAGAAAAAATAAGACCCTCTAAATCATAGTAGTGAGGAGAAGATATGTGGTTAGAGAACTCATAGGGCTCTTCAGGCTGAGTATGTATCTTAGAGGCTGGTATTTTTAATCATCTTGAAGAAGAATGTGACCTAATGACCAATGCTGTGCATAGATAGAGCAAGAAGCTTACATACAATTAGCCTTTAACCAATGAAACCCTTGAATATTCTACCATTAAATCACTTGAAGAGTCTCTACCTTCTAAAATATGAGATGAGATACAATAGATGAAACTCCTCCTGAAGACAAGCTCACTTTTTTTATTACAAAGCACATAATAAAATCTACCATCTTTAGAGTCAGCATATGAAACAATGAGAATTCAAGTATAAGAACCTGTAGAAAAAAATTTAAACATAAATATAGTCTAAAATATTTAAAGAGAAATAAAGGAAGCAATAGATTCCATAGAGCAATAAATGGACTTTTTTTTAAAGGAGAGGGGGAGGTGGGTTTAAAAAAAAAGACCTCATGGTAATTATAAAAATAAAAATAATCATTGAAATTTAAGATCTAACAAATGGGTTAAAAAATAGACTAGACATAGCTGAAAAGAGAGTTTATAAATTAGAAGATTGCTTTAAGGAAATCACCCAAATTGCAGCATAGAGAGATAAAGGGGTAGAAAATAGAAGAGTTAAGAGATGAGAAAAAACTAGAATGAGAAATTTCTCCATAGCATCTACAGTATTCCAGAAGATAATAATAGAGGAAATGAGGTTGAAGCAATAATAGAAGAGAGTCTTGATTACTATGGAACCAGGGTAGGATTAAAAGGCTTTTTCAGTATAAGAGATACAGGAAATTGCTCATGTCATGGGTATCCTTCAATTTTCAGTCTGATGACCCAGCTGTAAAATGGCAATTAAACCTCTACAAGGATGTTCTGAAGAGTGAAGAACCTTCCAATCCAGAAAAGACAGTGGAGCGAGTACAGAGAATTTCAGCAGCTGTCTTCCATCTAGAGCAGGTAAGGAACATCAAGCCTAAGGAGTAAGGAAGCAAAACTACCCTGGAGAATATAAAGCCTCTCATCACTCAGCTCTCTGTGACAAATTTCTTCCTAAAACTGAGAAGACAAAGAGCAAGAGTTATACCAGATTACCCCCAAGTGTCATCTTGGTGCCTTGAGAAAGAAGACCCCCTCAATTCTTTTCTCTTCCATCGTTTTACAAATTCTTGTCATTAACTCAAATGATATTAAGCAGTAAATGACTAGAAACAGTTGAGAGTAGGATGAAAAACTAAGACCTTCATAAACTGAATCATCCACTGCTAGGTACATATTGCTAACTACAGCTGAGAAGGCAAAATTATTCCAGGGTTAAGAAGTCTTGGCTACAGGTGACAATCATCTGCCACCAGAAGATCAGCCTTGTGTGCACCTACTCATGTGGTTTCTTCTCAGGTGGAACAGCCTTTGAGGTCCAAGAAGGCCGTCTGGCACAAACTGTTGTCAAAGCAACGGAAACGGGCAGTGGTGGCCTGTTTCAGGATGGCCCCTCTCTACAACCTGCCCAGGTAAGTATTCCTTATTTTCTGGAATGTGAGCCAGTGATAGGAATTGAGGTATCCTCCCACAGCTGTGCTTTCTTCTGGTCCTCACACTCTTAATCCAAGGAATAGAAATTGGAGTCCTTGGCTTATGGAGTTATTGCAGTCTGCATAGTATAAGGGACCGTTCAATCAATCAAGGTAAGCATAAAAACCCAAACTGGATGAGATTCCTTAGTGCCAGTTCAGCTCACCATTTGCACCATAAAGTCAACCAAGTAAGCATATAGAGGCATCTGCTTTTGCTGAGGTGGGGTTCTTTGTGAGGACGTAAAGGCTTCTGGAAAAAGAAAACTGTTTTCTAAAACACTTTACCCCAAATTTCATCAACAGGCAATATTTCTCTGCTCAGGCACTCGACACCAAACTTACTGTTTCCTCAGCAGGCAGAAATGTAACTTGAGAATCTTTTAACACAGCGTATTAGCTGTCAAGATGTAGCAAAGCTAGAGATGACCAATAAGGCCTGTTAGGGCCACAGTGCCTTTAAATATTTTAGCTTTTGCTCTTTTTTTTTTTTTTTTGGTAGAGTTTAGGTCTCGCTATGTTGGCCAGGCTGGTCTTGAACCCCAGGCCTCAAGTGATCCTCCCACCTTGGCCTCCCAAAATACTGGGACCGCAGGCATGAGCTACCACACCCAGCCTAAGGTTCTACTTTGAAATAAAAAACATTTGAAAGTTACTGAAAAGTTTTTTGAAAACATAAAGAAGAATATCAGTGACCGACTGGGCCAGTGTTGACTACTAAGACTGACTTTCAGTATCTTTGGTGATGTGGCAACATTCCCATCTTCGAATTTCTCACAGAGTAGGTAAGGTCGGGCCTGAGATCATTAAACAAAGCTGGTGACTGATATCAGCTTTGCTCATCAACTTTCAAAGCCATAGAAACATTTCCACCTACTCAGGGAAAATAAACTGACTTGGACAAGTATATTCTGAATCTCATATGAGTAGATGTGTTTCTTTGGAATATCAGATAAAGGACCATTCCTATGCTTGACATTTTGTTTTTATCAAATTATAACTCTTGGCTATCATTTGTCCTGAGTGTCCTTTAGTACTGTCCTGAGCCAATTGACCATCTGACCATCTGAGCTTTCCTACTTAACGTCTTTGAAGATGGTTGAGAATTATGGCCTCTGAGACACACCTGCTCCAACAGGTCTCTCTCAAGAAAACAGATTACTATCTTTGGGAGAAAATGGGGCACTCCTAAATCAAGTAGAATTCTTGAAAGCTGAAAGGTTAAGACATCATGGACTTGAAGGCAGCTGAAGTCCTGAAAGAAAAGTGAAATTCACAGCTCAGTAGAAAAAGCAAAAGTACATGGGATTTTTGCTTTCTCAAAGTGTTTACTTACCTCCCTCATTGAGCTCTCTACCTGATGCTGTACTAACTTGTCTCCAGAAGAGCCTAGCTCTAAGTACATGTCTCCAGGGCTGGGATAGCTAGGCAGAAATTACATCTCTCAAAAACAAGCATTGTTTTCAAAGCCCACTGAAAATATTAGTTTCATACTTACATAATTGGACTGCTCCTTCAGTAATTCTACCCCTGTTAGAGTAAGAGGAAGTTCAAGAATTCGCTATGTTCTTGAGGAAACCTGGCATTCCTAATGCAGTTGTTTTAGAAGAGTTGCTCTAGATATTCTCTCTAGCATAAAGGATTGTAAGAAAATTTCATAACAACAGCTAAGAAGCTGATGATGGAGACAATGCCTCTTTTCCACCTTGTGTTGATCGAAACTGCATGGAACTTTCCAGACTAAAGGGCTAAAGGGATTTATTTTGTTATTTGGAAACTGTTTCTCTGATCTTAGTTTTTAAAAGAAAACCTGTATGCTTTTCTCCAGACACAAAATTAACAATTTCTTCCTGAGCACCTTTCAACTGGTTTGGCTGGAAAAGGTTAATGAAAAAACTCAGTATAACAGGCTTATACACATTTTAATGGTAATGTAACCTGTGGAGAGACCTGCTCATTCTCTGCACACCCCTCCTTTCTTGACCATGATTTAATGTTGTCATAAAAACTCAAATTTGTACAATTTTTAAAAATAACTCTGATTGGTCAGATTTTGAAGAAAGATGGCAGGGCTGTGTTCTAGTGAAAACCACAACCTGCTCTTAATGGCTCTAGCATTGACTTTTATCTTCTTTCCTCCCCTTCCTACCTCACCACTCTCTTCACATTTGGTATATACTTGGCTGTTATGCAGCAGCTAATATTCTCAGAAGTGAATCCTGGATTATAGCGAGTAGCTCATGCCATTTCTTCAGTGTTCCCAGATACCATGGGCATAGCTAGAATTCACAGGCACACAAGAAATATGCTAATGATGTAACATGCCCAAGCCTTGCCTTGCTAAGTAGAAGCTGGAGCACCTTGCTAGTGTGACTACTTGGAGAACAAAAAGAGACTGTAAACCTGAGACTAAACCACCATCAGAACCATTTACATTGAATTACCGGGACAGGTGATCGGCCTAAAGTCATAGCCAAATTGCCATGTGAAGCAAATACTTGAGGAATGTTTCTTGCCCTAGTGATTTATTTCTCATTGGAGGGGAAATATGATAGAGATGCTGTGAGACCAGAGTAGTATTACAGACACCACCATGTTTTGTACTAACCATTCTTATTTTCAGAAGGTGCTCTGATATTCAGGAACCACCTGGTAAAGGGTTCTAGTTTCTTTGAAACGAAGGAATAGAGGGTTATGGTGTGCTATTGGACACCCTGACCAATCAGAAGATAAGAATTGTACAAAAGTCTGTCCTGCTTACTAACCATTAACTGCCCAAACTAAAATAATGAATTCCATGGATCCCTCTTGACCTCACTCTTGCCCCTTCCGCTCAGGCACCGCTCTATTAACCTCTTCCTCCATGGCTATCAGAGATTTTGGATAGAAACAGAGGAGTATTCCTTTGAAGAGAAACTAGTACAGGATTTGGCTGTAAGTACTGACTCAACTGGGAGCAGATATGGTTGTGAACGAATTTGATTTTTGTATTCATGTGTGTGCATTGTAATAATTTAGCATTCACAAAGAACCAAGTGTATACATTTGAATGGAACTAACTATGTAAATTCTCAGGGGAGGCCCTGCTAATGGTCATAAGAGCCAGAGGATGAATTTTCACTTGGAGGTGCTAATACTATTATCATCCTCATCATCTTCACTGTTAACAACTAATATTTCTTGAGATGCACAGCCATGTTATGGGAGTTCATGCTAAGTTAAGTTTTGAGCACCATTGTTGCAGGAGGCCACCCCAGCCAAAGCCCCACCTTCCTAATCGATAGCTCTGCTTTGGGGAAGATGCATTTAAATATCCTTCCTGCATCTCATATTTCTCTATCTGACTCTTCAGAAAATTTGGCATGCCCTGTCTCTAACAGACTTCATGCTCTAAAACCACTTAAAATGACATGCAATAGGAAAAAAGCTTATCACAGAGGCACCACAGAACCTCATTCTAGTTCAGAAAGTAAACCCTCCTCTTCTTTGATCAGCCGTAATTCTTTTTCTCCTTCTCCTCCTTCTCCCATTTATCTTTCTCTCTTATCACTTACTCTCCCCATTAGTCTCACTCTGTGTTTCTCATATTCACTTTTTTTTTTTTTTGAGTCAGAGTCTTACTCTGTTGCCCAGGCTGGAGTACAGTAGCACAGTCATGGCTACCGCAGCCTCGACCTACTGGGCTCAGGTGATCCTTCTGCCTCAGGGTTCCAAGCAGCTGAGACTACAGACCCATACCACCACAGCTGGCTAATTTTTTAATTTATTGTAGAGACGAGGTCTCATCAAATTGCCCAGGCTGTTCTCGAATCTGTGGGCTCAAGCAATCTTCCCGCTTCCACCTCCCAAAGTACTGGTATTACAGGCATGAGCCACTGCACCTAGCTGTGTTTCTTGTATTTATTCTTCTGTATGTCTTTCTCTTTGTTTTCCCCATCCCCTCTGTTCCTTTCCCCTTTTTTCTGTCATTTTCCTTCCATTTGTCTTTATGTCCTTCGTTCTTATCAGATATTTTTGTTGGTGAGAAAGACACTCTCTCAGTTTTCCTGATTCCTTGATTAGTGTGAATTGACTGTGAGCATCACTTCAGCCCTCTCCTCCTTCTGAACCATTCACACCACCTATGTAGTTATCACCAATTTACCAAATAGGGTCCACCCTGCTGTCTCTGCCACTGCTAGAAAATTCACTTTTACCTCTGTCATCCGCTGCTATTTCCCTTTCTGTAAAAGAAGAGAGTGAAAAGACGTGATAAGAGGAAAAGTACAAGGCCTGTAGCTCCAGGATGGCAACCCTCAGGAGCAGTGAAAATTTTAGAATCAACGATTATGTTACAAAAGAGAACCGTTTTGCTGGGTTGACTCCAGAATAGTATTAGACTCCAGGGGCCCCACTGCTTTGTGACTCTGGCCCTACCCCTATCTCCAGCCCAGCTCTTTCAGATGTTGGCCAGAGAGACCCAGTCTCTCACATGACTCTGCAGTGTTTCCCTCCTGAACTTGGGTGCCCAGAGCTTGCATGACAGTTCTGCTGATCGGGTCGGTAGCTTTTCCCTTACGGTCAGCCTTTTGCTTTTTCTTTCATTTTTTTAACCTGAAATTGGAATGTTTCTTCAATTGGCTGGAAAAAAATGTATATATATACCCCAAACCTTGCATCCTTAGGGCATCTATTTTGAAATAAATATATGACATAGTGATTTCTTTTTTGTGCTTTCAATCTGATGCACTCTGTGCCTTGCGCTTTGTTCGCATGCAGTTTTGTGGCACATGACAGAATTCATGCCTAAAAACTGTCTTTGTTGGTTTGTGTAGAAATCTCCCAAGGTGGAAGAGGAAGAGGAGGAAGAGACAGAAAAGCAACCTGACCCACTTCATCAGATCATTCTCCATTTTAGCCGCAATGCTCTCACGGAAAGGAGGTCAGCCCTGCTTCTCCTAGGCACCAGGGGTGCTTGTGTCTGCCCCAGGTCTTTCACTTGCAGATGGTAGTGGGTGGGAGAGGAAAGCCAGATTCAAGCAACCCTCCTTACTGCTCTATTTTTGGCCATCTAGCAATGTCTAGGGAAACTGCATCAAGCCACAGTCCTCTCATCATAGTGCCAGACATGGAGCTGATTAAACAGCCTGAAGCTGTAACCTTCATTCCCGAATATCATGTCAAGCCAATGCTGATTCAGATTTTGTGGTTTCTAAGAATCAGAGTGGAGGAGGGGGGTTTCTAGTGCATTCTTTAGTACATATAAATTTTACTATTACTACTAATTTTACATATGTACTAATGCATTCATTAGTACATATATAATTGGAGGTTTATATGACTCTTAGTCTTTCTGTGGTCCAAAGAATGGCCTGCTAAGTATTTCCTCCATTTTTTTTTCAGCAAATTGGAAGACGACCCTTTGTATACTGCCTATTCCAGCATGATGGCCAAGGTACACCTAGGTTTTCTGTCCACTGTCTCAGTCTTTCTCTCTTCCCTTAGACCTCTTCAGGTGCATGGAAACTGTCATATTGAACAGCAGGCCTGGGACTTGGTCATGACATAGGTTCCAGGTATTGCTAAGGATGACATTAGTAAGCCAGCCTCCTAAGGAAATGTTAACGCTTTGCAGAAACAGCGGGTACTGGCGGTTAGGTTCAAGTGACAGTTCTAATGCCAGTTAAACAGCACTTAGTCATACAGATTACCTTGCATTTTTAGGCAATGTTCAGAACACATCAAAGAGTTCAAACAGGTGAAGGAAACAGCATTAGAAACCAGAGGAACCGGCCAGAAGCAGTGACTCATGCCTATAATCCCAGCACTTTAGTAGACTGAAGCGAGAGGATTGCTTGAGTCCAGGAGTTCAAGACCAGCCTGAGCAATATAGCAAGAGCTCGTCTCCCTAAAAAATAAATAAACAAGTAATCTGAGCATGGTGGCACCCACCTGACCCAGTTACTCAGGAGGCTGAGGTGGGAGGGTCACCTGAGCCTAGGAGTTTGAGGCTGCAGTGAGCCTTGATCATGCCACTGCACTCCAGCCTAGGCAACAGAGTGAGACCCTGACTCAAAAAACAAAAGAAAGAAATTAGAGGGAGATCCCAGTGTTCTAGAAGATACAGTGACCATAGATGTTCTATGTCACCTAGGAATATAGTGACCTCTGGAATGCTGAGTGGATAAGAAAACTGCTTCTCAAATGGGAAACTTTCAGGCAGAATGGAGGATGTATTGGGGTATAGAGACACCCATTCCTTTATCTAGCCATACCACAAGGCCCCAGTGGGAAGGATACTTTAGGATTCACATCCTAGTCATCCCCAGTCTTACTGTCATGCCCCTAGGGCTCTATCTAGAAAGGAGCAGCTCCTTGCATCCCTGGCTCCCATTTATACCAGACCCTTAATAGGGCAGAAGAGTTCAGGTCTGTGGTTAAGTTAGGTAGGCCCCCATTGATAATGTGATCTCAGTGTTCTCATTCTTATCTCTGAACTTCATGGGGACTGCAAAGATGGTATTTAGAGTAGAACATTGCCCTACAGTGGTCAAAATGTTCCTGGTTGTACACAGTGCTGAGGTCCCGCAAGGTTCTTGTGAATGATGTCCTGTCCCCCACCTTGCAAAGCAAAACAGGGGTATATTTATTAGATTCACTTTTAATATGGTTGTCTGTCTCCTCCTTTCCTGCTCCACGAAATCCAGAGTTGTCAAAGTGGAGAAGATGAAGAAGAGGAAGACAAGGAAAAAACATTTGAAGTAAGTTTTCACGAAGATTCAAAACAAAGCCGCCCTCCAAGGCCTGTAGGCCAGGCCTTCAGAAGTGAGTGCTGACATTAGCATGTGAAGCTCACCCACCAGGAGTGTCTGAGTTGGCAAATCTTCCAACTCACACCCGTTAGTTGTGGTGCTGTTGTCTGTCTGTCTGGAATAAAAGGTAGCAGCCAGTAAGTAAATCACCTCACTAAGTTTGTTCTTGTGGGAAATTCTACTCACGTACCTTAGTAACGGAGGCTATAGAAGAAGAAATGCTACTCAAGTATGGTAGTAACAGGGGCCATAGAAGGACAAATTCAAACATCCAAAGTGGAAAAAAAACAGAAAAATGAAAATCAGAGCAATGGAGACACTGGAATGATTTTTGCACGACTGTTCCATAAATGCAGATTGATAGTGATTTTTATTTTAAGGCAGTACAGGGACCCTGAAGTACCAAGATGAAACTATATTAGGCTACTTGTACTCTATTACAGCCAGAGTACATGGCAGAACAAAGCAGACATAAATGAATATAATTACAGTCTAGAGAGCTTTGACATTCCAATAACCCATGTTAACTGTGGTCTGAGCAGTGCAGAAAAGCAGGCATTTCTAACATTCAGCCAGAAATACTCAAGGTGACCCCTCAGCAGGTTTCCCTGTGTGACAGAACATTGAAAACAAACACATTTTAATGTTGCGTTGCTTCCTAAAATTATAGTATTCGAAGAGAATGGATTATATTGCTCATCAACATAAAAAATGGAAAATTCATCATCAAAATATGAGTTATGGGTAGACAGTTTTACAAAGCTGGATAGTGTCTGGAAATAGTCTTCGAAGGCCTGCATTACCCAAAATGATGTGACCTGCCTTCCTTAAACAACTAAAGGTTCTCTCTCTCACCACACCATGGTGAACTTTCTGGCAGGGGTGGAAACAGATCTTTCCCTGTGACATTTTGGGTGTGTATGTGTGTGTGTTTTCAGGAGAAAGAGATGGAGAAGCAGAAAACCCTCTATCAGCAAGCTCGGTTGCATGAGCGTGGTGCCGCCGAGATGGTCCTTCAGATGATCAGCGCCAGCAAAGGTGATTTTCCCAGCTTCTGGGTAGGCCCTTATAAGTTCCACAGAGGAATCATGCTATGACATGAAGAAATAGGCATTATTAAGGAGTTCTGTTGAAACCCAGTAAGCATGACTTATCACCTGTTACCTTGGTGATTCAGTCGAATCTTCGCCCTGGCAGGTGAGATGAGCCCCATGGTGGTTGAGACTCTGAAGCTGGGCATCGCCATTCTAAATGGAGGCAACGCTGGTGTGCAACAGGTAACGGGGCCTTGCAGGAGGTTTGCAGGTTCCTGAGGTGTTCCCATTTAATACCCATCATGCTTCAGGAAAGAGGTGTTAACTGCTACAGAGGAAGGCTTCCCAAAACCACTCAGCTGGTGTTTGTCCTTAGCGACCAATTATATCAAAGTATCTGGGAACACAGATGAACTCAGGGTTGGGAGTCTTCAGACAAATGTATATTTGATAAAGAGCTTTTTACCCTGGATTAAAGAGAAAAACATTTAGTTTTTTTTATCAGCAGATGATTTTCTGCAAAAATATATTCTAGAAGAAGTTTCCTGTGCCTTAGGTTTATTTTAGCCCTTTCACTAATTACCTGCCTTACTATGAGCAAGTAACCTCATCAGTTAAGTGGAGTTGATAACCCCACATGCCTGTTATTTATTTATTCATTCGTTCATTGAACTGTCTACTGATTGCTAACCATGCTAAACTTTGCTGTAAGTACAGAGGGTGTAGCTGTGAATAATACAAACAACTGCCCCACCCCACCGTCATGCAGCCTACCTTCTAGTGAGCATTACATGAGACAATATGCAAAAGTATACTGCTGAGTGTCTGGCACTTGACGTTCATTCAACAAATGAATTGGAACTGGCTGCAGAAGACAGGAAAGTACCAGTGTCTCCCACGCACTCCAGGCTCTGGTTAAAAGCATCTGTGAGCACATGAAAGTAAAATTTCAAACTCTTGGCATCGGGAGGGTTATATACCAGGAAATTTGAGAGTCTCCAAATTCATAACTAACCATTGTTGCATATAATTTTTTTCCAGTTTTTAGGTCATCCCAAACAAATTTCTCATTAATAATTATTTGACTTTTTATTTTTATTATTTATTTAGTTATTTAATTAATTAATTGATTAATTATTTTTGGTAGTGTTCAGGACTCACTTAGTTGCCCATGCTGATCTTGAACTCCTGACCTGAAGCAATCCTCCCACCTCAGCCTCCCAAATTGCTGGGATTACAGGAATGAGCCACGGAGTCAAGCCAAGAGTTATCTTTTTCTAAGTTACCCCTCACTGTCTGTTGTCTTCCATCACCAACTATCAGTGGATTTTCTTGCAGGGCCTTTTATTTATTTATTTTTAGCAAACTTGCTATCATGTCAGACAAAGTTCCTCCCTTCCCAGTACCGAGAACACAGTAAACAAAGTCTTACTGTGAAAGAAATGCCGAGCTTCCACTAGACTCAATACTGGCTAAGCTCCTTGCTCCTGTGTGCCAAACTTACAGCATGAACTATTCAGATTATACCTCAGCAGCATTAAACATTGCTATATCACAGTCCTGGTGCTGGTTCCCAAATAGTAGCGATGTCAGACAGTAAATTCATGAGTGTCAATTTTGCCCTAGCAGAAGTACCAATGGATCTTTAGCATGGTCCATTCCAAAAGATTCTGATTCCATAAGCGGAAGGTCCAATTCAGTGTGCTGGTGTGGCTGGGGATTTGCCATTTCTCTGTCAGGATTAAGAGGGTCAGCATTTGTGGCAAGGTTTTCATTGTTTTTCCCTTGGCAATGTGTTTCCCTCACAGAAAATGCTTGACTACCTGAAGGAGAAAAAAGATGCCGGATTCTTTCAAAGCCTTTCTGGTCTTATGCAGTCTTGCAGGTAAATGTAAGAAAGCCACCATGGCAATTTTTTTTAACTCTTCATTTTGCAAGGAAAGGGGGGCAGAGCAGGGGAAGCACAAATAAACTGGCCTACCACAGAATTACTGGGAACAGAGTCACCTACTTTAGAAAGCTAAGAGAATGGGTATTGCTCCTCCCATCATCAGAATTACATTCAAATCACATTCAGAGGGGGAATAATTGCCATTCACCACACACCCACATTCCTCCACTGTTATTTTTATTGTTTTTAATCACCCTTTCTTACCTTCTTTTTGATTATTTGTTTTCCTAGGACAATAAGTGTGCACATTGAATTTCTCCTCAAACTTAACTGCCCATAAATGTCAAACCAGAGGAGAGTGAAAAAGAGTGAGAATTCCTCACTATGATTCAAGGCTGTGTTTTTATTAAGACCTATTAGGTACTTTGTTAATCTTTATCCTTAAGGATTCTTTGAGCTTGAATAGCTGTTGGGGTGGAGTGCATATTGTGATCCAACATTTTGACAGAGGTATATCCTGACAAGGGAGCATTTTGACGTAACCTGAAAAATAAAGCTTTGAACTTTCAGTTTATATTACCAAGCAGTGTGAGCTGCCCCTCATGGCTGAGCCCTCTGATAAATAAACAATATATAACTAAGAGTCACAAGGCTACTATACTTACTTGTTTCAGAAATGAGCCAACAATCTTTCTCTAAAATTCATATGCATTTTGAATAGTCTGCAACTCATTCTAAAATCAAAGTTTTCATTTTCTAGCTTATTGCCTCCAATAAACATGCTTTAAAATTGAATATTTTGTCTTTCATTTGAAGTTTTGGAGGATCCTTTCTTTTGGTGGACTTCATAATTTTGCTAACCTTATTTGATTAGGTAAATATTATTCTGTAGGCAGTAGGGAGCATATCTGAGCTGTAATATGATTCCTTGTTCTCAAGCTATATCATTTTCCCCCCCAGTCTATTCATTTATTATCTCTCTCAGGAAAAGAAAATGTAATATTTCCAGATCTGACTCTCTGAGGCTAAAATAGTACATGTGAACTCAGAGACAGTAAATATCAAAGCAATTCAGTTCCACATTGCTCATGAAATTATCTGTGAAATTTCTAAGCATTCTCTCAGTGTTCTGTAATACTTAATATTACTAAACTCTTTTATAATGATGGCTTGGAGAGACAGGTGACATACACTTAATGCCAACTGAGTTCTAATAGAAGTTGGAAGATACCTTAATGGTTTTTGATGATTATAAAAATAATCCATTTTGTAAAATATTTAAGCACTAGAGAAATTAAAATATTCAAAATAGGTGTTTAGGGACAGAGCAAGGACCAGAAACATGTGTTGCACAGATTCAAAATCAAAACTGCTGCTTCAAAGCTACTCTGTCCAAATGTCCTTTCCCATATTCCCCTCCCCTGACAGCAAAACCAAAGGAGAAGGTTTAATTAGTCATCACACTGCTAGTCCTTCTCCCATCAGAATCACGGGGAGAGAGGACGACAAAGTTGGCAATAGAGATTTCACTATTTTCTCTTTAAAACTTCCATAAATTGCAAAATGTATATGACTCCCTAAAAATGGGGAAAGGATGCTGGATTTTTTCCCAATGTCTTTTCAGTCTAACAGTCATTTTCTTTACCCAATGGTAGAAGAAAAGCCAAGTTTTGTGGTGTCTTAATGGCCGAGACCATAAGCTTCCCTAAGAGCTATGCTCTTGTGAGACCTTATGTTCTGGGTTTTATGAAACCTATCAGACTGGGGACAGGGTTAGATTCTGATAGTAAAATGGAACCCACCCTACTTAGAAATAGTGTGATCAGACAGTGCTCAAAGTATTATCAAGCTTTGTGGTTGTACTAGGGCTTCCTCTTAAGTATAATTTGGCAGCAGTTATGACTGGGAAAATTGGGGAAAGTAGGGACAAAAACAAAGGCCAACTTGTCACAGGTTCAGGAACACCTAAAGATGCCATTGCTTGTGGAAAGCTTAATCACATTGCTTGTACTATTGACTCCTGAATGATACAGTCACCATAAAAGGATGTGGCCCTTCAAAACCTGAAAGTTTGTAGCTCTCTCCATCACTACTCTTCCTAAGCACTGGAAACCACTATTCTATTATGTGATTCTCAGAAAAAGTAAATAAAGTTGGGAGGTGAACATTAATTTACTGCAGTTTAAAGTAAACTCTTTTCCTTGAAAAACCTTAGAAACATATTATTCCTCCTAAATTTGGGAAACATTTCTAAATCTTGATTCATAAGAAAGAACTCAAACTAGACAAACGAGGTTAGTCACCATAAGTGTTTATGACCCCTTGCCATGTATTTGACAAAGTCTGAGGGCTATAGGCTTCCTTAGACATAACTGCTTGGCACAAAGTCAAGGAACCATTTGACTTTCCACTGCACTGTAATGTGTTAATCCATTTATGATAATATAGGAACAGGATCTTCTTAGTCAATAGATACATTGACGCTAGAAATCTGCTTTTGCTGTGTGTATAGTCCTGAACCTTGTTTCCTTTTGTCTATTAAAAGTGTCCTTGATTTGAATGCATTTGAGAGGCAGAATAAAGCTGAAGGCCTGGGCATGGTGACTGAAGAAGGAACACGTAAGTAACTAATGAATGTGAAGGCCATTCTCTTCTGGATTAAAATCTTAATTAACTGTTTCTGGTCCGAGTCCAGGTTTACTGCTTCTTAATCTGTAAAGACTTGCTCCATTTCAGCAAAATGTTTTCCTTAATAGCTTTGAAAAAGCCAGCATCCAGGCCAATGTGTTCATAGAGCCACTCTTAACTAAAGACAGTTTCTCATGGTGTTTATGGTTTCCTCACCTTGTGTTCTTCTATTTTTCTCTTATCACCAGTCATTGTTCGTGAGCGTGGTAAGTTTGAGTTTCTGGCCTGAATTCCTACCATGTGTGTGAATCCTGAGAGATCTCATTTAATTGCCTCAGTGCAGACACATTTTAAGCTTGGTAGTTGCATGTTGAGTTTAACTCAGCAGTGTGATGATTAATTAAAGAAGTGTCTTCCATCTGTGAAGCATGGGTTATGGACCGTGAACCATTTACTGCCCCTATCCTGGTTGTTTTCATTACAAATGCATTGGTTGGGCATTGTGCTCTGCAGCCTCAGCTCAATTTAATCAGATTTTATACCGTTCATCCAGAGTCCCTTTTCAAACCATTCTGTCACAACTACTGTATCATTTTGCATTCATTTGCATTAAAAGGTGTTCTGTGTTGAGAAGCCAAACAAATGCTCATCAACATTTTTTGTTTTCAAGGTGAAAAAGTACTCCAGAATGATGAGTTTACGCGTGACCTCTTTAGATTCCTGCAGTTACTTTGTGAGGGACATAACAGTGGTGAGTGGAACAGATTGATCTGTCAAGGGAAAACAGCCTTCAGGTGCAAAATTATAATTCAATTCGGTATGTCTCTTTGGATATAACTAGTTGCTCACTCAGGGACATCAGTTTGCCCATTCCTCAATAAGAAATTCTATGTAAAATGACTTTTAACTTCATGGCTAATGCTATTTAGTGCCATCAAGGCTAAGCTGCTTTCAGAATCTTCAGATGGTGCATCTAAATACCCAGCCCCTTTCCCCTAGAGCTCATTAAACCCAGTTTCTGGTATCAGGGATTGGGAGAACTCAGGGCACAGCCCTGACCCGTAAGATCTAGCAGGCCCCAAACATGTATCCTTGTAAGACTTTTCATATAGTGTGTCTTTTCTGAGCTCAGTTCAGAGGGTATGCCTGGCTCCCTCAGCATGGCAGGGATGGGCTCTGACCCAGCACTGGTGCTCTCAGACTTTCAGAACTTCCTGAGGACTCAGATGGGCAACACCACCACTGTGAATGTCATCATCAGCACTGTGGACTACCTTCTGCGGCTGCAGGTGAGCAGGAGGGCCTGCTTTCAAAAGATAAAGGCAGTTACACAGGGCCAGGGAGGACTCCAGGTACAGTCAAGCCCTAATGAGGAAGGCATTGTAATGTATGTCCACACATATATGGGAAGTCAAATGCCTAAAAAGTATGTTTGAAGACGGAAGTCGGAAGAAGTGGATAAGTACTAAATCATCTATTACAAAATGCTGGTTTGTTTTAGTTTTGCCAGCAAAAACCTAGTTGTATTGCCCAAGAGCTAGAAAACAACCTGTGAATGAGGAGGACAGATTTCACTCGAAAAAAGAGTTACAAAAGGGGATGGAAAAAAGATGAATTTATAAGTTCTGAGTGTTGAGAAGTCACTTGGTGAAGGAAGTCCAAATTATATGTAAACATACGGAAGATTTTTTTTTTCTTCATTGCTGATTTCTCATCTTGGTTCTGCTACTTACTAGTGTGCAACCTGAAGCAATTTATTTAACATCCCTGTGTTTCAATTTTCTTATACATAAAATGGGTAGAATTTGTCTCATAAAGTGGTAGTAAAGACTAAGAGGTTTAATAAACGCACATCTCATTTTATTGCACTTCACAGATAATTGTGTTTTTACAAATTGAAGGTTTGTGGTAATGCATTGAACAATTCTATTGTGGCCATTTTTCCAACAGCATATGCTTACTTTGTGTCTCTGTATCACATTTTGGTAATTCTTGCAATATTTTATACTTTTTCGTTATTATTATATGTTTTATGGTGACTTATGACCAGTGATCTTTGAAGTTACTATTGTAATTCTTTTGAGATGCCACAAACTATACTCATGGTAGACAGTGAGCTTAATCCATCCATGTTGTGTGTGTTCTGACTGTTCCACTGGCCGATCACTTCTCTCT